CCCGCGGCACCCAGAACTGCGTGCAGCGGGTCAACGACTACAAATGCGAGTGCCGACCTGGCTATGCAGGTGAGCACCGTGTCCCCCCACCCTAACCCCCAGCCCCCAGCCCTGCAGCCCCCAGCCTTCCCCAGCATCTCGCACGCCTTCCTCTGCTCCTCACGCTCTCCTCTCCCTCGGCAGGCCGTCGCTGTGATACCGTGGTGGACGGCTGTAAGGGCAAACCCTGCAGGAATGGTGGAACGTGCGCGGTTGCCAGTAACACCGGCCGTGGCTTCATCTGCAAGTGCCCCCCTGTGCGTACCTGCTCCTCGCCAGCTCTGAGCGCGGGGTGTTGCACGGGTGCTGCAAGGCAGCCCCTTGCGGAGATGGGTGGTCCAGGGGCCCCAGTTTAGCCCCTGACGTTTCCCCGACTGGGATAGGCAGGGCTAAGCACAGGGAGGGGAGAAGCTTTGCTGTGGGTGCTCACTGGAGGGAGGCGTATCCGTGTGTCCGTACCCTTCTGACTTGCAAGGAGAGCGGGTCAGCCAGGGGGAAGGAGGTGGCTCAGCCCTGCAGGTGGGACACACAGCTCTGTAGGACAGGCGCTTGCCTGTATTTGCTCCACGTAAAGGTGAAGCAGGCAGCTCCAGAGAAGAGCTCCCTTCATTTTGAGGGGGATGCTCCAGCGGGGTTTACACTCCGGATTATTCTTGCCCATCACTAGGATGCTCCAGGGCCATGCCCTGGGTATATCTGCCCGATGCTCTGGGTTTGTGCTGTTTCCCAGAACGCACATGTGTGTTAGGCTGCTTGTGGGACAGTGTTGGTGATTCTGACTCCTTGCTGTCACCTCCCCAGGGATTCGTGGGTGCCACCTGCGAGAACGACTCCCGCACCTGCGGGAACCTGCACTGCCTGAACGGCGGCACCTGCATCTCCATCCACAAGAGCTCCAAGTGCATGTGCGCGCCCGCCTTCACGGGTCCCGAGTGCCAGTACCCGGCCAGCAGCCCCTGCACGCCCAACCCCTGCTACAACAAGGGCACCTGCGAGTTCTTCAGCGATGCCTCCCCCTACTACCGCTGCAACTGCCCCGCCAAGTTCAACGGCCTCAACTGCCACATCCTCGACTTCGATTTCCAGGGTGGGATCGGGCAGGATATCATCCCACCCAAAATTGAGGAGAAGTGTGAGATTCCAGTTTGCCCGGGCTATGCCGGCAACAAGATCTGTGATGCGAAATGCAACAACCACGCCTGCGGCTGGGACGGGGGCGACTGCTCCCTCAATTTCAACGACCCCTGGAAGAACTGCTCCCAGTCCCTGCAGTGCTGGAAGTACTTCAACGATGGCAAGTGCGACTCTCAGTGCAATAATGCCGGCTGCCTGTACGATGGATTTGACTGCCAGAAATACGAAGGGCAGTGCAAGTAAGTGACGTGCTCGTTGATTCCCTTGTTTTAAAGCCATGAGCTCTGTGCGGATCATCTGGGGATATTTTCTGGTTGCATCTGCTGAAGGTCCTCAGTGCAGAGCTGTAGTTCCCTCTCTACGTTCTGTTCTGCTGCCTGTGGGGCTGCAGCTCAAACAGCCACGCTTCCCTGGGCTCTGAGTTTGTACACACTTGGAAGCTCTCTGGCTTTGGGTCGTTTCAGGCGGCTTCCCCATCCTTGCCTGTATCACACCACAGCAGTGAATTCTCCAGCTCCCAGCAGAACACAGCGAGTGTCAGTGTAGGGAGAGCCTAGATGAAGGAGCAGCCAGAACACACGATGATGTTCACATCCAGGCATTCACCAGACATTGTCTTTGGCAACAGCAGGAACTGAATCCCAGATTCCTGGACAAACGCTGGCCTGAGTAACTGTTGTGTGTCCCGATGACTTCCCTGAGTCACAGTAATTTGTCCCTTTTTCTGGCATCTAAATTGCAGCTTATAATGTAACAGCTGCTGTCTTTCACCTGCAGAGGTGAGTGCTGCACAGCGCCGCATGGAACAGGTGCCTTCCACGTAAACTGGCTTAGTGTCTATCAGGATGACGAATATTTATACAAAAGAGAGGTCCTTGTGGGCCGCTGTTTATTTCCTCAGCAGATAGGTGATGTGTGCGGTACTTGGTCTAACTCATCCTTCTGCCTTTTTTTTTTTCCTTCTGCCCAGCCCTCTGTACGATCAGTACTGCAAAGATCACTTCTCAGATGGTCACTGTGACCAGGGATGCAATAACTTTGAGTGCGAATGGGATGGTCTGGACTGTGCAAACAACATGCCGGAGAAGCTGGCCGACGGCACGCTGGTGGTGGTGGTCCTCATCACTCCCGAGAACCTGAAGAACAATTCCTTCAACTTCCTGCGGGAGCTGAGCCGCGTGCTGCACACCAACGTGGTCTTCAAGAAGAACCCCAAGGGAGAGTACATGATCTTCCCGTACTATGGCAATGAGGAGGAGCTGAAAAAGCATTACATCAAGAGGTCAACAGAGGACTGGTCAGATATGTCGAGTGCTGTCATCAACAAAGTGAAGAGCAGCCTCTACTCCAGGGCTGGCAGGAGGCAGAGGAGAGAGCTCGATCAGATGGACATCAGAGGGTAAGGGGGACCAGCAGGTTCCTTTTTCACTGAGCAGCTTTTGTTTTCTGTGTCGATAATAGTAACGTGCCGTAAAGGGAAGGATGTAAGCCAGATAATTGTATTTAGACGTTGCTTTCTGTGTGAATAGAAACCGGATTTTGTTCTCGCGTGGGAAAAGCGAGCGATCGCTCAGGAATCGCTGATACAATGCTGCGCCGACTCTCACGATTGAAGGAGTCCTGTGTATTGTTGGGAGCCCGGGGCTGGGCTGGGTGGGACCTGGAAGCAGAGGTTGGCTTGACCGACTGTCTGACTTCAGGAAGTCATTAAGTTAAGCCTCAGTTTCTCCCTGGGAAATGCTTTCTAGAGCTTTGTTGTAAAACTCAATTACCGCAAACTCCGTTTGGAGATCTTTGGTGTAAACAGACCGATCTAACCTTCTCCCTCTCTGGGGGCTCCATCAAAAGCCACCGAAAGCAAAGGAGTTAGAACAGCGAAACCGCTGTG